CATTACCATAGTTATGACATTGCTAAAGAAGCAAGCAGGAGCTGGTGAAAGAACTGTTGTGGAGTGTTTTAATGTGAATGTCATGCTGAATATCGTGACATCCATCAAGACATCTATCTGTTGTCATGACAGAACTACTGTCATGTGTGAGAAACAGCAGGAGCTAGCAGGAGCTGATGACAGAACTGCTGTCATGTGGTCCAGCAGGAGCTACTAATGACAAAACTACTGGGAACTGATCAAGAAACTTGCTGGAGCCAGGTTAGTCAGCTGTAAACGGATTTTCAAAGTTAAGGAAGGAATCGAAGGCGTGACGTCGAAGAGATACAAGGCAAGATTGGTTGCTAGGGGGTTCACTCAGAAAGAAGGTATCGACTTTAATGATGTATTCTCTCCTGTTATGAAGCACAGATCCATTCGAATGTTGCTTGCCATGGTGGCCCAATTCGACCTTGAACTAGAACAGATGGATGTGAAAACTGCGTTCTTGTATGGTGATCTAGATGAAACAATCCTGATGAGGCAACCTGAAGGGTATGTCGAAAGGGGGAAGGAAGATTATGTGTTCAAACTGAATAGATCTTTATATGGACTGAAACAATCTCCTCAACAGTGGAATAGGAGATTCGACAAGTTAATTCATGGCACACATAAGTTTCATCAAAAGCCAGTTCGACCACTGTGTTTACTTCAGATTTCGACCGGGTAATTCATTTGTTATTTTGTTGCTCTATGTGGATGATATTCTAATAGCAAGCAACAATGTTGAAGAGGTAATGAGGGTGAAGGCTGAACTCAATAAAGAGTTCGACATGAAGGATCTAGGAGCTGCATCCAGGATTCTTGGGATTGACATCCGGAGAGATAGAAAGCAGTCAAAATTATGCTTATCTCAAGAGCATACCTATAGAAGATTCTCGAAAAGTTTGGTATGTCGAATTCAAAGTCTGTTGTGACTCCGACAAATCCTCAATTTAAGCTGAGTATAGATCAATGTCCCAACACTGATGTTGAAAGAACTTATATGAATAGCATTCCATATGCTAACATAGTAGGTTCTTATATGTATGCTATGGTTTGTACTAGACCCGACATAGCATATGCAGTAAGTCTTGTAAGCAAGTACATGGCGAATCCTGGAAAGGCTCACTGGCAAGCATTAAAATGGATTTTAAGGTACATAAATTGGTCTCTGAATAGAGTCCTAATTTATGGTAGAGCCTTGGGTGAAGATAGTAAAGCAGCAATCGAAGGATATGTTGACTCTGATTATGCAGGTTGTATGGATTCCAGAAAATCTATCTCTGGATATGTGTTCACTATGTTTGGAACATCAATCAGTTGGAAAACAACACTTCAGAAGGTTGTTGCCTTATCAACCACTAAAGCGGAGTATATTGCCCTGACTGAAGCTGTGAAGGAAGTATTGTGGCTTGAAGGTTTTGCAAACGAGCTAAAACTTCAAGGTCGAGTTATCACTGTTAAATGTGATTGTCAAAGTGCAATACACCTGTCGAGGAGTCCAGCCTATCATGAGTGAACCAAACACATTAATGTGAGGCTGCATTTCATTAGAGGGGTAATCGAGCGTGGAGAAGTCCAAGTGCTGAAGGTTTCGACAGATCATAATGCTGCTGATATGATCACCAAGACGTTGTCCAGTTGCAAGTTTTTCCACTGTATGCAGTTAATAAAGTTGCATGAAGAAATCTATTTTCTTGATGTTATAGAGTTAGATCTAAGGTGGAGATTTGTGAGATGTTGGATCGAACTCTAGTATGGTTGAAGTTTGTTCGCGAGTAATGCATGTTGTAGTCGAAGTCTGTTCTAACATGCATTAGTCAATATTGCTAGGGTTGTTAGCATGTTGAATTTGGCCTTGCTTGTAAGCCCAATTGTTTAAGTTAGCTTGTACCCTAAGTTAGCTTGTAATGGGTAATTGTTAAAAAGACCATTAGGTTAATGTGCTATTTTATTATAAATAGGATGCTAGTTTCTCAATCTTGACACAAGGAAAAATAGGAAGATAAAATCCTAATTTCAAAGGAGAGAGGTTATTTTGTTATTCTTGTATACTTGTAATCTTGTTCTAAGAGAAAGAAAAGAATAGCAGTTTAATAACCAATCTTTATTGTTTTCTTCTTTATTAACCATAACCCTTGTGTGTTTCTTGCTAAGAAACCGTTTATACTTTTTTTTAAAGGTATCCGATTCACAACAATATTGTTTAATGTTGTTTATATGTTTATATTTTTGAGAATAATGTTATTTTTTAAATGAAATTTTGAGTTTTAATGGTTTAAAGTTTTAAACTAACATTGTTTATTTGTTTTGACATGTTGTATTATATGGATTAGAAACAAGGACCAAGTGCAAGACAAAATGTTGAGCAAGGAAATAGTTGTAGAGAAGGACTGAGAGTTGGGTTGGATATTATGGAGCAATAACACTGTAAGTATATGAAAATATTAATATCTTATGCTGGTGATAGTTTGACTGTGTGCTGTTAAATCTTATGTTGTTTATATGTTATCTAAACCTTAAATGAACTTTTCAATAAGTCAAGAAAATGTGTTATCTAAACCTAATAACTGCTTTAGTATGCTAAATTTGATAAAAAATATTTGAATCTTTTTCAATGTTTTTATAAACCTAGAAGTGTTACAGAAAACCATTTTGATCTTGACCCTCTAAATTGTAGAAAACATGAAACTTACATGTGTAGCATGGAGTTAGAGGTAAAACTAATTTAGTATTAAAGACACACAAATATATATAACTAATTTAGTATAGAATAACAGTACCATTAGTAGATACAAAACACATTTGAAACATTGAAAAATTTATGTAACTAATTTATGTATAACAGTATCATTCTGGCAGTATCATTAGTAATTTAAAAATTGAAACATATCATTATCTTTTGTATATAACTAATCTTATGTATAACAGTATCATTACGAAACTATTTTATGTAACTAATGATATAACAGTATCATTAGTATAACAGTATCACAATTTATGTAACTATTTTAAAAATTAGAACATGTCTCATTCTGGCAGTATCTTTTGTTTTATCTTTTGGGATTGGCAATGATAAAATACATTTGAATCTGTGACTTTTCTCCTTTCATGTTCATTAGTAGATACAGTATCATTAAGATTGTTCATGTGAAAAACAAATTATTTATTAACTAGTGTTCTTTGCTCTATAGCCACTATTGAATACATGTCATAAAGTTAAGTGTTACTTTTACTTTTGTATACATGCCATGTTGCTTCTCTTGTATTGCTGTTAAAAGTGCTATTTTTAATTTTGTATATAGCCTCTCTTGATTACATGTCAGGCTATTGCTTGTGTATTCTGTTATGCAAATATAAATTCTGCATAAAGAGAGTTTAAAATGTTATTTTTTAATGCAGATTTTACTTTTCCCTTGGGTGCTGATTTTACTTGGGCGCAGGTTCAAATGGCTCATCTGCATGTTTACAAGCTGATGTTTACAAGATGATGATTGTAATTAATAATTTTATGTGTTATGTCCTTTTTAATGGTCTTTATAGATGGTTAGTATTTTACTTAATATGGAATATAAATGATGAAATCACTAGACATTTGAAGTGATTTTTAATATGGTATTGAACTTGTGATGTATGATATAATCAGGAATATTTAGGAATGATAATATAGATTTTGTGATGAATGATGATATTGGCCTTTTAATGAAAGAATTATACTATTGGTCTTGTGTTGAATGAAAAAATAAATCAATGAATGATAAAATAGATTAGAAAATTACAATTATTTTTGCAATTGGGCTATTAATTTTTGAAGGCCCAAACCAATTAAAACCAACCAGTAAACCGGTCAAATCGAAACTGAAATAACTGAAATTAAGTTCAGTCGAAATCGGATCTTGCTTTAGCACCCATGGGTCTGGATGAGAAGTTTGGACCCGAAACCAACCGGGTCCGACCGTATGTCCACCCCTACCTCTTATTCCTCTTTTTAATGTCATGTTTCATTTTGCTTATAAAAAAAATTCAAAATCTATTCAAGTAAAAAAATCTTGAAAGCAAGTCGGCAACTACAAGACAATAACACTGCATAGTGTAGGGGAAAAAATATTACTGCATTAAAGATTACAAGAAATCAAGTTGTTCAGAATATGTCAGCGATTTCAGTCAAGAATGTCCTTTGTCATGTTAAAACAAAACCGTTCTTTGTTGGTGACCCAGGAAAATAATGTAGCATTAAAATCAGGCCATGCATATAAACATTTCGTTAAACATGCCATAATGTTTATTTTGGTAATTAATCTTTTTTTTTTACTACTATTATTTGATAAGTATACATAGATATCCTTTTAAGTTCAAATAACGTGGTGAATATTTTAATTCAAGTTGAGTTTGATAGAGTTGCGGTAAATCATTATAATTTTGTAAAAGTTGCACTTAAGCATAGAGTACTAAACTTTGAAATTACGCCTATTATTTAACATCTAAAAGCCACCTTTAAGCATAGAGTTATAATACCTCTCACATGCTTGAGTAACCCTTTTGGTACACAAACAAACATAGGTACACTCTTTTCTCACTAAGCATGGCCAACATGACCCACACCACACCAATATTTGGGAGATCTAGATCTCATGCAGATATAAAAAAATACACTCAATCTCAGCCATTGATTTGAGATCAATCACATTATATTTTCACTAAATTCTTTACTATTCATTTCATATATGGAAGTGTCAAAATCAATAACTACGTGACACAATAATTGTGATTTATTTTCAACATGGTCTAGCTAGCCTATAACCCCACCACCTCATATCCTCGCTCAAAAGCTGGCATTATTAGACAAACGCATCTACACTGAAAGTGATTGAAGTGGAATCCAATGAATATACAGCTTCTTACTAAAATAAAAAATATAAATTATTTACAAGATAAGAAGAGGACACAAAATTTAGATCTGAGCACTTTTTTGAGTGAAAATGAAGTTCTTGTTTCAGTGTCCTTGTTGCTCTTGCTTTTGCTTCATGAAGCCAAAGGCTGGGAAGGCAAAGGTGAAAGAAGTGAGCAAGGAAGCTAAAGCAACTAAGGAAGTGAAAGAAGTGAAAGAGACTAAGAAGGAAGAAAAGATTGAAGAAAAGAAAGAGTGACAACATGTAAAATGTAATGTAACTCCATTGCAAACTTTCTTTGCTTGTTTAATTTTAGTAATTATTTTCCTATGTTTTGTTCTTATCAACAAATATTATCATTAACCATGCACAGCAACATGTGCAATATGCTTTGTGCTTCTTTGGTTGTTAAGCATTGAAGTGCATTTTATTATGAGTTTGAAAATGCACATTAATTTCCTTTGTAAGCAAATGCTTAAAGTGGAAAATAAATTGCCATTTCAATAATGTATATTTCCATGATCTGTTACTAATTTCTACTACTTTTAACTTTTGGGATGATAAAAAATGGGAGATGGAACTAAATAGGTGATACAAATGATACAATTTTGTTCTATTGAAGAAGAAATTATACATTCCTCTTCAAAATCGACCCTCCTCTATTTAGAGGGGAAAAATCACATTTTAATATCGTAAATATTTTTAATTTTTGAAAATTGATCTACCGGTGAAAGCTTAGATTTAAGAATATGCTTTCCTCTATGTGTTACCAATTTATGTGTTGAATATATAAAGTATTTTGCTCTGAAATATTGGTTTAACGCCGATACAAGACCATTTAGAGAGTCAGTAATGATGTCATTTTTAATAGTATTATAAAAATTGTGAAAGAAATGGAGGACTCTTTATAAAAAAACCATTTAAAGAGTCTGTAATGATGTCATTTTCTTGGATAAATAGGAAATTTTGATCAAATCAGCCAGTTTATAGTGTGTCTTTATTCATCTGATATTTTGATTAGGGGAGGAAAAAAATCATAATGGGATAGAATTATGGTTGCTAAGGAGAATGTACCAGACTACCAGTCGATTGAATAATCAATATACCTCCGCATGTTGTTTAAATCCTTACCATTATGGCCTTAAGGATTGGAAATCAGAAAGTCCTATTAATCAATTGCTTACTTGTATGTGTCATATTCTAATTTTTGGTCTTGAGATTCTGTTTTTAGTTTTGCATCGTCTGCATAACATATTGCGCATTTTATCATGCATAATACACAATTTATCAGCTGGAATAAATTTGTTAAAATTAAGCCGAATTGATCAAATAAAAGTCAACTGTGTACAAAATCAGTGGGCGGAAAATTTTAAAATAAAGCCTGCAAACGACAGTAATATTAATCTACGTTTTGTGTAGTTTAACTTAGTGTGTTCATTTAAATTTTTCGACACCTTTTGGATGTTTTTTGACCTGTTTTAGCCTTTTTAACGGGTAAATTTATTTTAAAATCTGATCAAATGTTGTATTTTTCCGAAAAGTTTATTTCGCGCGGATTATTGTAGTACATTTATTTTATTTTTTCGAGTACTTTTCTGTCCAATTTTTTATTTCATTTTTTAATTATTTTTATTTAAATAATCATTTAATTTATTTAGATTTAATTAGATATTTAATGTAAATTTTTATTTTTACTAATTAATTTTATTTTTAATTTGTTTATTAATATTTTCTTTTTAAAAAACATAATTTTTAATTCTTTTTATTTTTGTCTTATCATAAAAAAAATACAAAAATATGATTTTTAATTTTTTTTATTCTTGTTTCATCATAAAAAACACAAACATAATTTTTAATTCTTTTTATTCTTGTCTTATCATAAAAAACACAAAAACATTATTTTTAATTTCTTTTATTCTTAGGTTGTCATAAAAAAAAACATAAAAACATGACTTTTAATTCCTTTTATTCTTATATTATTATAAAAAACAAAAAAACATTATGTTAATTGTTATTATCATTCTTGTCTATTTTCTAATCCTATAAATATGCGTCAGAAAAAACAAGTAATCACACAAAAAAGAAAAAGCACTCATACTTCATCTTCCTCACATTCAAACCGCAAAGTTTTTCACAAACCATGACGTGACATCTAGAAAAAGAGATAGAGAGGACGACAACACGAGGGAAAAGACCATTTGAGGGAGGTAAAATTGAAAACTCACCATTTATTTTGAAAAGCTGGTGCTATTTTGTATCTATGTCAATTTTATGTTTGTCTTAGTAGTACCACTTATAGTGTCACGTGGTGTTTGTTTTACATATATTGATTGAGGTGATTTCTTTAGTTTTATAATTTAATTATATGAGTTGTTTTTGCTTGTTTACAGTTTATGTTAGGTGTCACCATGTATCATATATTTATGTATATATTACATATATCATATTTTAATATTATATATCATATACTGTCACATATCAAATATTATTGAATTGTTCTTTTATTTTTTTATTTTGTTTTGATCCCCATTACCTCTTAATTATAATTAGTATATTCTCTTTCATTATTTTTTTCTAGTCAATACTATATAGCCTTTTCTTTTAAAAAGAAAAATAGAAAGAATGAAATTTAATTGATTTTTGGATATCGGCTATCATTATTCTTAGCCACTTTTATTAATCAAGTTTATTTTTTATTATTTATATAATGTTAGAAAAGACCAACAATATTTTCATATTTTTAGTTTATTACTTAATTTTGTAATATTAAAAAGACTATATATATATATATATATATATATATATATATATATATATATATATATATATATATATATATATATATATATATATATATATATATATATATATATATATATATATATATATATATATATATATATATATATATATATTTCAATTACTTTATTTTAGCATAGAAAGATGTAAACAAAATTTGTTTTAATTACTTTTATAAGGATGAAAATACCAAAAATATATTAATTATTTATTTTAGTCTTTTATTTTCTATTTTTTCATTAGTTAATTTGAATTATATTAAAATGTAAATAAATTTGTGTCATAATTATTATTTGATATAAATATTTATATTTAAATTAATTAATAATTTCTTGCTACCCGATTCTAAAGGAGGATCCCTTGTTGTTGACACTCTTGTCATTTACATTTTTATTTGCATTTTGTATCTTCTTGTATACACTTCTTGTAATCCTAGAACTTGTTATCCCTTAGGAAGTCTCACTTAGGATTACCATTTCAACTATAGATTACTTACAGTTAGTTCTCTTTTTCTCATGAGAGAATTAGACACTGGTCATCCTTAGTTGGGATGTAATTCTCCTATCCTATGACATAGTTGAGAAATATGTTAATTCTTTTCCACTTGAGAGAGGTATGTGGCATACTCGTTGATTCTATATCTGAGTTAGAGCCCTTCTCTTAATGTGAAGTAAAGATCCATCTTCCACATGATTGTGGTGGTTTAAGTTGAGTATTCTCCTTAAGATGACAACTTGTCTCTTCTCCTAAAAATAAATCAACAAACTTCTCCCCTTGGAACCTTGGCCCTAATCAAGAGTTCCTCATCCCTTTAGGAGAACTACGAATGCTCTAATTCCATTCCCGTCAAGATACACGAGATGCGATGTCTTGGTGAGCATACTTAGGAATAACATCTTAGGTCTCCCTTTACCTTTTCACCCTTTAGCAGACAAATAACAAAATAACACAATAAAACAAGAAGTTCCTATAGAGTACTACAAATACTTAGGATGCTAGCACCTTCCCTAGGTATAAACAACCCCCGAACCTTAGACTCTCTTTTGCTTTGTTTTTGCATTGCATTTTTTGGATTATTCGTTCTTTTTCCCTTCCCTTGGATAAATTAAAGATCGGTGGTGAAAAATGATTTGTGATTCAAGTTAATCAATAACTGATATTCGATTCTCACCGCGACAGAAATGGCGACTTCACTGGGGATACTTTGAGGGTTCCTCCTAAGTTGTTTAATTTGTGTTTTTGTTGAATGTTTATATATCTTTTTACCTGTATATGTATGTTTCTGCTTTGGGTTGTTACTTTCGTTTGGTGAGATAAGTCCTACACCCGGACTTGAGTATACTTATGATAGGAGGGTGATATATTTAAGAAGACTTATAGGGAGTTGATTCCCGACCAAACTAACTTGAGAAATCACCACTCAGTTGAGACCCTCTTGAGAATAGTACTGTTGAACGAGTATTCATGAAAACACTTACTATTTTTGACCTATGAGCTTGTGAAACTGAGAACCTTTAGTTACCCTTAACTCAACTTGACTTTCTTAGGACGTAGTGCAATAACTATGAGGGAGTAGTCCCAAAATAGTTGATACGGGATACTACACTCAAAAGAGATTCTCTTGAGAATATTATTAACTACCGAATATTTGGGAAATTGGTAATATCTGAAAGATGGATTAATGACTTTGGGAACTTTTTAAAATCCTTGTTCCGCAGGTACATTGAACCCTTAGTCCACACCATTTGGGATGGGTAGACCATTACTCCAGGCTCGTTGATTTTCAAACCTAAGTCTTTGCCTGTTTGAATGTATATGTGGATCTGTGTATATCTGTGTTTGAGCATACATGAACTCATGAACATCATGTCCATAAAATTTTCATGGAATTCAAATATTTTATTTACAAACATCATAGGTTTTACCATTGGATTTTGAATTTATACTCTATCTTCAATAAAATGAGATTTTCAGTTATCAAAATTATTATCCATTTTATGGTGTTTGCAAACGTAACCTTTGAGTTCCTTGAAATCCATGTGCATTGGTGCATTTGCATTCGTCATTAGCATTTCATTCTTTACATCCCAGGTTTTCACTCTTGCTTTTTCCTTCAGAGGAGACAAGCTAATTCACCAGTACGATACTTGGACCAATCAAAGAAAGAAGATGAAGAACATTGAACAAGAAAACCATGAAGTCTATAAGGAAGTGACTGCTTTGAGGGCTGGTATGAAAAAACTCTTGCTTTGGTTGAAACTCTATTTTTTTTCAAAATCAACCTTCTCCTCATATTTCTCAGACTCCGCTTCAAAGGACCGTGATTTATGAAATCATGTCAATGCCCATTTCGGTGACTCCTATTGGTGCTTCTAGCAACTCTAAGAAGCTTGTGGAAGGTTTGTCCAAGAAGAAGGAACAAGATGTTAATACTATTTCGCGAGAGAAACACGGAGGAT